CGCAACAGCAGAGATCAAGTCCACAAAGTATCCACAGCGGTGGTTTTTAGTGGACCAAACTTGGGATAAGCCATGATATTCCTACTACATATTCTCAGCATTTCGTGTGCGGAATCTCTTCCGGATCTTCATATATTGTAGCTCTTTGAAAAACAGCCCACCCCATAGCCCAAAAGTCAAAAAAGCCAAGGAGCATTTCAGCCACGGCGTCTCCGACTTGGCGGATCGTGACGGTTTTTCTCGAGACTTTGAAGATTTTGATGGGCCAAGCCGCGCGTTTTTTCTGCGTTTTTTCTGCTTCATTTATGGAAAAAAAAAAGGGCAATTTGATGCGGCAATCTTGATGGTGTACCCAGTGTACCATATGAATTTCTGTGTAAAAAAAAAATACCTGACCGGTGCGGGGCGAGCCAAAAAAGCGGGTGCGGTCAACTGCGAACAGCTCGGGATTGGAACAATTTCTCACCGATCCAGAGATGTCCAAAAAAGCGTTCGTACAGCGGAATTTATACCAGCTCTGCGGTCGGTGGTGATTATGACTGGTTGGTGGTGCAAATTGGTGCAATGTGCCCATCTTGAAAAATATGACAGTCAATGGGAAGGATGACATCCCCTATATTATGGAAAATAATCCAAATGTTTGAAACCACCAACCAGATAAATGACTATGCCAACCCTGGATTAGCAGCCCCATGCAGCCCCTAGCTGCTTTCAGTAGGGACTTATCCAAATTGAATCAGCCACAGCTCCATTTCAATAGCAGGTTCCTTTTCTGTGGAGTAACCTCAATCATCCACGTTCAACATCCGGGGTTGGCATATGTCATCTCAAGATTTGGCGGGCCAAGCTCCAAAATCACTCGCCCCAATTCAGCGCCGCTTGCAATTCAGCATATTCAGCGGCGCGGCATCAGCGCTGTACATGTGCTGCAGGGGCGAGAGGAAAAGACTGGGGTGTCCCGGCCATCGGTGCCTGTCTCCAGCGCGACAAAACTGGAGGGTTGAACTCCACAGGTCCAGACGGTCTGAATAAGGCTGGAAGAGCCCCCCAGAGCCCCCCCCTGCATTCCACCAGGCAACTAAAACACAACATGAATATCTCTGACAACAAATGTCTATAAAGATAGTGTGTGCCTGGAATTTTGTATGCCTGGATTTTCACTTAGCATGTTTTTCTGCTCATAGCATGTTTTGGCTGGATTGACTTTTATTCTGACTGTTTATGCTCACTTGCATTAAGAAATTAAGAAACACGCATTTGTGTCATGACGGACGGATTTTTCCCTGGTATTTACTCTTATTTCCCAGGAAACCACGCTCAGATTTTTTGCTTCAAAGCGCACAGAGTGCCAAAAATCCTACCAGTGTTTCAATTGCGTTCATTTGGAGAAAGCACGGTCAACAAGTAGATGTCAAATCAGCATCTACAGTATTTGTGCTATTTTGAGGATGCAGGTATGTACTATAGTCATTATAGTCTACAAATAGTCTACATGTGGCGGTTAATCTAAATTCCTTTATTTGCAAACGGCCATTCTTCGCGAATAAACAATTTACTTTTGGAACCCCACGTTTTTTTTCGTGGGGTCTGATGTTAAAATATGTTGCTATTTTTTTGCCTAAAAAAGATCACTTTCGCGAACTCAGAAAAAAACTTTCGCAGGGTCTCATGTTGGAACCCTGGCGGCCTTTGTAGTGGACAATCTCTACATGGACCTTTAGATCGACAATCATCTGGATATGTTCTTTTTTTCCAGCCACTGTTGGATGACCAAAGGATGCATTTTCTATGATGTTCTTCGATCTTCACTTTCTTGAGGCGGCATTTCCAGCAGGATGGAGTTCGATTCAAAGCTGTTCAAATGATTTCATGACCTGAATTCTAAGCTTCGCTCCGAGAAAAAGTCGTGCAAAGCACTCAGCCAAGCACTCAGCGCAGGAGGGCGGCCTGAGTGGCATCCAGCATATCCTGCGGGGTCAAGGTCCAGTCCGCTGGTGGTCAAAACCGTGTACATCCTTGTACCCATAATATCCCATAACATTGAAATGGCTTCTACTGCCGGATGGGATGTTCATGCCCAAATTCTGGTATTGTAGTTTTTGAATGTTTTTGACTCATAGCCGAGTCAATAGGCTGGGTCAACCCAGCCATCGTCGGATGTTGGATGTTCAACCAAGAAATGGTCTGTTTTGATCCATCCGCATAGCATATATCAGCCATATCATGCCGTATCATCAAGCCACCAATGATATGTTCATAAACTTGCCCCCAATATGCAGGATGATCCCGGCAGTTGGCAAATGGACCTGGCAGTTGGATAGTGTCAAGCCTCGAGACTAAACCCTGAGTAATTGAAACTTGAGGCCAAAGGGGGGACGAAAGCTAGTTTGGAAATGAGCAAGAATGGGTAGCTCAATAATTAATAATTATAGTTCCTCTACTTCGCTCATTGAAATGTCTATGTGCGATGCAGCTTTCCACGATTTTCCCTGCCAGTGTCAGGTCTGGCCGCGATTTTTTTGATTTTGGGCAAGACATCTTGGAGCCGTCCGAGCCGTGAAGCCATGAAATGGATAAAATTATCTCAGCCAATGGCAAATCATGTGGGTAAAACAATGTCATGTTTACCATCCCCCAGCCATCACCATTTTCATAGGTGCTATGTAGAAACCATTCCCAGTCATGGGTGGTTTATGACATTGTTTTACCCATATTACTTGGAATTACCCTCTGGTAAACTAACAATAACTATGGAAAATCACCATTTTTCATGGGTAAATCTAACTATAAGTATGCCATTTTCAATAGCTATGTTTGTTTACCAGAGGGTAGCTCGAAGTTGGTGATTTTGGCTTTCCAAGTCCTAGGTTGGACCAGTGCGGAGGTGACAAAGGCACATCACATTCCAAGTGATTCGATGTAACCTGGAAATCCGCGCGAAAATAATGCGTCCTACGACCTGTGTGGTGAAGCAAAAGCAGAAACGGTTTATATACATATATATATATAATATATATATATATATATATATTATATGGTTCTAGCATGATTGTATCTTTAATGACCATTGGACCATTTTACTAACTTGGAGCGTCGTCCCCATGCAGAAATATGCACGTCAAGCTTGTCGACAACTTGTGCTGTGAATCAAAATTATATAAATAACTTAACTTAATAACCAGCAGAAGGCTGACATGGTTGCATCATGGAGGGAGTCTTCTTGCAATCGCAATGAGAACAAAAACATGTGGAGAGGGGAAAGATCTCTCCTGGGCAAAGAGCGTTACTCCTTTCAGTGCTTCCGGATACATAGTTTCTGTTCGACTGCTACGTTGCTGCTGTGTTACTGAAATCTGTCTTGTTGGAGACCTTCACTCAATCTGATGCTGGTTGGTGGTTGACCTACCCCTCTGAAAAATATGAGTTCGTCAGTTGGGATGGTTATTCCCAACATATGGAAAGTCATAAAAGTCATGTTCCAAACCACCAATCAGGATGTCATAAAGGTCTTGTGAAGCTCGATGAGCTTCAAATGATCGGACCCATGGTCAATGTGAGGATCTTGGGATAACCATGGAAAAGCTGGGCGAAAATAGGGGCTTCAACCAGCTGGGAAAACAAAAACAAATAACCAGCCAGCCATCACTTCTATGGATCACACAATATGATTCTTCAGTCGTTTCATTGCCAACCAAAGGGTATGCTAACGTATGCTATGTTTCATGACCCCTAAAATGGATGGTTGGATGGTCCAGAAATGGGTTACCCCTTCGGTGAATCATCGATCTCGCTAAGATGACCATTGTGTTCTTAGTTTTCTTTCTAGCCACCTCCACCTCCAGAGAGAGAAAAGTCGTGGCGAATATCCCATTTTCAGATATTTTCAGACAGCGTCCTGCAACAGCATTCGCCAAGTCGTGGCGCCGGTTCCTTTCGCCGTGCGCCTTTGGACTTTGTTGGGTCGTTTTGTTGGGATGTAAAATAAAGAAAAATGCTTCGCTAATGGGATGGTTTATTATTGGGTTTTGCACATTCTATAATACATGAGTATGTATATATATATATATCTGTGCGTGTATCTTTCTCCATTTCCATCTGACAAGGTTATGTGAACGTGATGTACTTATATATAAGCCTGTATATGTATATATATATATACACTGTATATCGCTCTATATTGCAGGGTTGACAATTGTTTCCTGCTTAGACACCAGAAAATCATCAAAGAAATATCAGATTTATCATGGGAATATCAACAGGATCAAACTAATATGAGAAAAGCACCACCCGCATCCCAAAAGGTGGTAAAGTCAGATGGGAGCATCATCGACCCAAGGCAGCCAGGGATTTCGCCACCAAAAAAAAAACAGTATCCCAGTTCTGGTAGCCTTTGGTTAAATATGATTATCCCGTCTTATCCCCATAGTTTTGGGGATAATCATGGATAATCCCCACTGGTGAACTAACATAGCAATGGAAAATCACCATTTTTCATGGGAAATCCACTATTTCTATGGCCATTTTCCATAGCTTTTTGTATGTTCACCAGAGGGGAATCCCCGAAATGATGTTGACAATTTAGCTACTTGATGCTACGGCCACCCATCAAATTCCATTTCGTCCAAGGTACATCAAATATCTTCTCACCTTAGCAATGTCGATTGGCCAGGGAGCTTGGTATCTGGATATTTTCTTGTACAACTTGGCATCATTACTGTAGTTACATATAGTTGCATAGGAAATTGGAAGATGTATTATAGGAAGATATAGGAATGATGTCACTTTTGAAACTTGGAAAATAGTCAGTTTTATATTTCACAGTTTCGTCACAAACCGTTGTTCTTCAATATATCAATGTTTCCGAGGTCTAACCACTCTGAAAGAACCTCAGTTCAATTTGTGTTTAGGTAAACTAACATAACTATGGAAAATCATCATTATTCATGGGTAAATCAACTATTTAAATGTGCCATATTTTCAATAGCTATGTTAGTTTTCCAGGCCGGGTACCTTTCCTGGATCGAAATATCTGGCTGGGACGTTCCAAAAAACTGCCAAGGCCTGAGAGTCTGACCGTGGCAAGATGAAATCGGCGAAGCTCGGTCAGTGCTGCGACACATTCATTGTAGGCCTGCGCAAAAAAAAAAATCCAGGCAGTTGATGGTTAATAATGGTTAATACTAATGGTTAATAATGGTTTATATATATGGTTAATATATGGTTAATGGTGGGATTATATAATGGGATTATAATGGAATAATCATCAATAATGGGATTATATAAAATAATAGTGGTTATAATACTAATAATATCTGGTTGGTGGGGGCTACCTACCCCTCTGAAAAATGATGGAGTGAAAGTCAGTTGGGGTTACTATTCCCAACTGAATGGAAAGTCATAAAAGTCATGTTCCAAACCACCAACCAGTGATGGATGTTGAGATGGGCAGCATATTCACAAATCAAGAAACACAGCATCCATAGAGTTCACAGACTCTGGTCATGATCGTCATGATCATGATCGATCCCTCAATTTTTAGTCTTCGGCCAGGAAAACTATAGAAACTGAACGATTGCCAATAACACCAATAGGATCCAATAGGGCCCTATCTCCAACCAAAATCGCCAAGAATAGCACAACAAATCGTGTTTGCAGAAGCACAATCACTCACAACAGGTTGCCCATTGAGGGTCTATTGACCATAATGAGTTTGTAAAAAACACAACAACCATTGCCCATTATCTCAACGGCCTCCACTCGCCCAGATTTTTCTCTCTGCCTGTGAAAGTTCATCGACATCCTCCACGGCCTGCACAGCCAGTTAACTGATAGTCTTCAGTCATTTATTTCTGATAGTTAATTATTGATGAATATTGATGAATATATATATATATGTAATTTATATATGAATCTATGAGATAAGTTAAGTGGATTCTTAAGCTTGAGGATAACGTCCCTGACGAAAAGAAAGAGAGGCTGCGCCAGAAAGATCCCCTTGGCGGCCCATGGCTTCGACCACCCCTTTTGGAACTTCAAAAAACATCGCAGTTAGAGAAATGGTGCTGAATTATCTGATGTATTCTGATGTCAAATGGATCATGTCCAACTGGCTGTAACCGAAAATGCTGCAATTCTACTATAATGGCCGGGACAATGATGTTATGACAACCCCAGCTCCAGCCACATTCCAGTCACATTCCACCCCACCTGGCACTTCCTCACGAACTCGGGAATGCCTCCCACAGCTTGCCAACGTGCACCTGTGCGATACTTGGAGGATCATTCGACTTAGTACTGGTGGGTAACTGGGATTTCTTTATCCATTTCATTCCATTTAATTATAAACGTCAAATAATGGTTTCAAATGGCAGAATTTCTTGTGATTTGTTGACCCATTTATAACTAATATCTATAAACGTTTAAATATGTTTGCCCCAACCCGGACGCTGCTCCACACTTACAATCGTCATGATCATGATCATGATCATGATCATCATCATCACCATCACCATCATCATAATTATCATCTTTATCTTCATGAGGGGTCAAAATTTGCCACCCCCTCTGAACAATATGTTGATTGGGGTAATAACATCAACTTTATCTTCATGAGGGATCAAAATTCGCCGCCCCCTATGAACAATATGTTGATTGGGGTAAAAACATCAACTATATCTCCATGAGGGATCAAATTTCGACACTCCTATGAGCAATATAATGGCTGGGGTAAAAACATCAACTTTATCTTCATGAGGGATCAAAATTGGCCACCCCCTATGAACACATGTTGACTGGGGTAATAACATCAAATATATCTCCATGAGGGATCAAAATTCGCCACCCCCATCTTTATCTTCATGGCCACCTGAAGTCAGACGCGGAGCAACGTCAGGGTTGCAGCGAATATGTTTAAATGGGAGACTTGACATCCATGAATCGGGGACCATCACCAGGGTGTATGGTAAAAACAAGATGGAAGCCACGAACCCGAATGTAATCACGTTCTTGGGCTACGATTCCAAATCTCTGCAATAGGAAAGCGATCTTTTTTTTCTACGCATCGTGCGCTCAACATCAACTTTATCTTCATGAGGGATCAAAATTTGCCACCCCCTATGAACACATGTTGACTGGGGTAATAACATCAACTTTATCCTCATGAGGGATCAAAATTGGCCACTCCCTATGAGCAATATGTTGATTGGGGTAAAAACATCAAATATATCTCCATGAGGGATCAAAATTCGCCACCCCCATCTTTATCTTCATGGCCACCTGAAGTCAGACGCGGAGCAACGTCAGGGTTGCAGCGAATATGTTTTAAATGGGAGATTTGACATCCATGAATCGGGGACCATCACCAGGGTGTATGGTAAAAAAAAGGTGACCCACCTGCGATGATTCTCAGTACTCTCAGTCCCCGCACTGAAGTCCAACAGCATCTGCCTATGCTCAGCCTGGGTCAGAAAAACCGAAAAAAATATGTCATTCTCCCAGCCATTCTGCCATGGTGAAAAAAATCCATGATACTCGAATCACGTCATTGCATACTGTAATATGTTTGAAAAACATGCCGTATCCAATGATGTGTTTTCCTGAGGGCTCTCATTGGCACCAAACATCCAGTGCTTGGTCGCACTGCGTACTGCTAAATATATCTAAGTGTCATTGTCAAAGGTCTGCCCTAGTCATTCCTCTATGGCACAATTCGAATAGTGCCTGTGAAGGTCTTCGCAGAGTATCGCACTGAATGGTCGATCAACTGCCCTCCAGATATGCAATATCATCATCAACATGAAATCGACAGAAATCCCGATGCTGCAAGAGGATCCAAGGGCAATGAGTAAATCATTATATATATATATACATATATATATATTATCAATCAATATGATTTCCTTATGGCTTTGCCATTGCCAGCCTAGATTTCCCAAAAATAAAGCTGAACTTGGCTGAGCGTGCAGCTGGCATATACATCAGCATCTCGTCCTGAACTCTGACACTGAAAAACTTTCCTGCAGGTCTCAATACATTTCGGCAAATGCTCAAACAGCCCGAAGGGCGCACTCTATTAGTCGTAATTTGTATAAACTATTAGTATACATACACTCGTACCATATTATACACACAAACACACACACATAGATAGGTAGATAGATAGATAGATAGATTGCGAATCGGGGGTTGTTTGCCCGATTATGTTCTGGTAGTTGGATTTGAAGTGAATGCTTCGTTGATGACGTTACACGGGCAGCAGCTTCCGCATGGCGTTTCTTTACTCTGTTGCTGCAGTGGGTCTTGAGCCAAAGAGGCCAGTTTGGAATGCCCCTTTGGTACTGGATTCTAGAGTGTCGAATTATGTGATAATATACAATGGTCCGTAGCCTACACTCTATTCGCACCCCCCACGCATAGCCAACTTTGTTGGCTACGCGCAAAGGAGTGTTCCTTGAATTGATCCACTACATTTGCAGCTGTTCATTTATTGAATTATGGAGAGCTAAAGTCCGTTCAGAACTTCACATCTACATGGCGGCTTGCTACGATCTCTACCAAAGATAAAGGTTCTGTTCACGTGCATGTAGACACGACGTAGTCGGTGTCTAGCATTGAGGTTCATCCAATGTGGCGTAGCCAGCATGGAATCCCACTCAAGCATGTGAATTAAAGAAATCAAAAACATAAAGTTGACTATGGAACTAGAAGTTTACCTTCCCGTTCCTTCGTCGGTTGAGATGTAGACCGCTGTAGAAACTCAGCGTCTCGTGCAATGATGTTCAAAAAAATGTGTGGTTCTAAATTAGCCGGCTCAGAGTCCTCTCAGAAATCATTCGAAATGAAGTTGAGGTAAATCTCGAGCAATGATTGCATCCTCGCATCGCCAGGTTCAATCAGGACCTATGCAGAGGTCATATCGATTAATCATCTATATCCCCATCCATAGTATCCCTGTTGGTTCCAGTCTCCGCCACGGTGTGAATAAGATCTTCCACCTTTTCCTTGGTCTTTTCCACCCTTCTGCGGCGGGGTTACTGGAGCTTGTTTTGGCGGAGGAGCGGTTTCAACTGTTCTCCATGTTGCTGACGATGATGCTTTCGCTTTTGACACCCTGCCCAGTGCTGGTGCTGCTTTCGGGGCTGCTTTCGACTTGCCAGCGGCTGGGTTAGCACGTTCACGATTAGCAGGAGTTGGGGTATCAGCAATCGCAAGTATGTGAGCGTCTGACATGTGGATGCCCCACCTTGGTCGTTGATCGTCCCGTTGCTTGATGTGGTTGTAGTCATCGATTGCATCATACAGCTTCTGGAGTAGAGGTCGCGGCAATTGTCGGCCATTTTGAAGGATCAGGTGTAAGAGTGATATTCTTCGAAGTGCGGGACGAAGAGCACACACAATGTCAACTGGGTTCAGTGTGATTGTGTCTTGAAAGTCGACGTTCCTGAAGAAATAAACAGCATTCACCCTATATGCACCTGCTATGATTCTTCTGACCATGACGTCTTGTCGGTCAAGGGCTTCGCGGGCAGCTGTGGTCTTTCTCATTTCATCCATTGTTGTGTCACGTTTCGACAGCTTCTCCATCTCCTCGTCAAAGAAGATATTTTGCAAGTCATCATACGTGTAGCCACATTCAAGGGTATATATGAGAAGTCGTTTGAGTACCACTGCCCCATAATATGCATTGACGAATCCCTCTTCTCCGATGTCGTCCTTTTGATTTGGTCGGCCGATCTCTTTGTAGAGCTCTTTCATCTGTTGTGCAGTGGGTTCAATGAGTTCACCATTTTCATCCTCGCCTAGATAAGGCGTTCTTGAACCCAGGTCCATCCTGAATTTCTGGTTCTGTTGAAAATGTTTCCATGCCGTCCCGATGTCTCCACAGAAGTTCCGTTGGAATAGTCTGTAGATCCTGACGATATGTAATCCAATCTGCAACAGGAGGATCTTGATGAGCTCCGGCTGAGCATCTCCAATTGTGCAAGGCTCGATTGGTAGGACCTTTGATCCAAACTCAACACGCTTCATCCACTTGGGGTACTCAATCACTGCATCGCGAGCTTCTCCAGCCTCATACTCTTCAATGTTGATTTCATCGACCGCTATCTCTTCATCGTCGTTCTCGTCGGTCGGTTTTCCTTCCCGATTGATAAATTTGTCGACCTCATCTTGTTCTCTGAAGTCTCTTCTCTCATCATTGATGTCGCCCTTCTTCGAGGCTTGGTCATCATCTTCTTCTTCTGGTTGAGTTTCTTGTTCTGGACTCTTCATGGTGACGTCATCATCATCTGGCATCACCTCGTCGTCATCACCATCACCTGTCAAATCGATCTTCACCTCCTCCCATGCTTTCTTGACATGGTCTTTGAGATCTTCTTCTCGATGATGTGATTCGGCATTTGGTACTGTAGCCACAGTGATCTTGATTCGTTTCCTCCATCCATGGCTCACCAAAAATCCTTTGCACATCACACAAATCGATAGTGGTGCAGGGGTCTCCATCAGACATGCGGGGCATAGTCGATGGTCCTCCTTGCTGGGATGATGAGTGACTGCCAATAATGATATTGCATCATTCCAATCCGGATGTCCAGGGAACAATCTGTGAGTATGACTGAAGTGACCGGTCCTGATATCGACAAGTTTTCGAAGTTCGTCCAGGTCGGGTGATGATTCTTCAGGCACAATGTTCCCAATGAGCTTGTCAAATCGTTCAATGGTGGCCACCCTCTTTGCTCCTTGCACAGAAAGTACAAGTTGATCTCTTCCCTTTGTGATCATGAGACGGTATACGTAGTCCTTTTCCCTCCAGTCGTAATACCAAACTGCATCGAATGATTCGAATGGAATTGTTTCTTGGACCAAAATGTGTCCGTCTGCTGATAATCGAGGGGAGAACTTGGCGATGGAATCGTACGTGATGTAGATGTAGACAAGATCAGTTTGATCAATCTTCCTGAATCTCAGCACCATCTGACTTCGCACGTCCCACGGCGCAAACGGCACGAAGAACGTATTGATGCGGTCGCCTCCTCCTCCGGGACGTAGTCCTTCTCTGAAGATTTGAGCGATATTGTCAAAAGTGGTGCAATGAAATCCTCCTCCAAGAGTGTATCCTACTCCAGGGTTCATCTGATATGAAGTCTTCTTGTCTTCGATGTGCACACCGCCTTGAACTCTTGAATGTGCCATAGGGGCACGGATTGCCACCGGCCAAAGCCAAATCTCTCGATCTGCTGTGCCAATCTCCAACCTCAATGTTTGTCGATCAAGTCTCGAGGTCAATCCATCATTGAAGTTGCTCATGACGTATTCCAACTCACCTTTTGTGACTTTGAGTCCTAGCACTTGGGCTCGGATTCTCTTCGTTTGCTTGTATTCAGTGAAGATCACTCTCTGGAAATTGTTCCACCTCTCAACAAGTATCGGGTAGTTGACATGGGTCGTTCCAGCCAATGTATGTTGGTCTCTCCAAATGGCGTCGTACTTCAAGATCGACTCAACATTGACCCAACCTGCCTCATCGCATGGTAGTCCACGGTGATTCCGATTGTCTTTGACGCAACCGACGGAGTGGCGTAACGCTGCATTGAATCTTTTCGACAATTCGACTATCCATTGCGGGTTTTCCCACTTGTTGCCCATCCACTCATTCTCGCCATATCGATGTACCTTACACCAGCCCATTCCAAGATATTCTTCTCCATTGGTGCGAGCAAGTTGAAGTGTACCAATGTTGTGGCCATGTGTGAATGGTTGGATGTACTTGAAGTTCCAGTTGTTTCCATGTTGTTTCCTTTCTTCAGTAAGCCATTTCATGTATTCATCATGGTCAATGTGTTTCCAAGCGTTCAGCTCTTCAATGGTCGGCAAAACAGGCGGGGATTCCTCAGCCGCACGCTCAATCAGCAAATCAAGCTCATGACGATTCTTCACACCTCGGCTAATTGGGTTGACTTCGACACCATTCACTAAGTATTGTCCTCCTTCTTCACGATCACCAATGTCGTACATAAAGGCTGACTGACTATAGAAGCACTTAGTCACTTCCTCTTTCTCAGTGAATCTGGTTCTTCCCCAACGCTTTCCTCGTGGCATGACGTTCTTTGGGAGCTTGTCTTTCCTGCCTCTGGTCGCAGCTTTGGATCTTTCGGATGATGATGGGGATTTGGACTTCTGATCCATGATCATTCTCATGCGCCATAGGGTGTCCTTCATGTTCTCGTCATCTGGTGTGGTACATTCATCAATGTCATGCCTCCCACCACAAATGAAACAATATTGAACACTCGATGCATCTGCAATCAGCTTCTCAAATCGATCACGGATGTCCCGCACCTCAGTTCGGCGCTTCTTCGCCTCCGAAGGTTGGCCCCCCATGTCATCTTCCTCCTCCTCAATCTCGATGTCACCAGCTCCGGCATCGGTTTCTCCTGAAGTTTGTTCTGCTCGAGGGCCCCGCGCCGTAGGCGTCGTGGTCTCCTCATCAGGTTCATCAACTTCATCCACCTCTTCATCGCTTGATGAGACCTCAATCATTTCAGGGTGGTCATCGTAGTTGGCTTCTGGGAGCACCGGCATTCTGGTGATCTTCTTCTGCATGAGTAGGTCGAAGATTCCCGCTTCTTTCAAGATTGTAATCACCATGTTGTTCTCGACCGGCGGGATGTATGCTTTCCTGGATCGATTTCGCTTTGTGTTGATGGTGTCGGTAGGTCGACATGAACTGCTGAATAGCCAAAACGACTCTTCCAGTCCTGCGAGGCAACTGTCAAGGTTTGCCCCCCATCCAGCGAACATAGTAGGGAATTGAATACCCAGGTCAAGCATTCCAAGCCAGAATTCGAAAATGTCGCCGACATACTCAGCTGTTGCGGTTGGATTGATCATTGATGATCTCCTCCTTGGTCAGCACGGTCTTCATGTAGTCATGATAAGCGACGTTTCCACCATCCCAAAGCAGTCTGTAAAACCATCGCATTCGGTGCATTCCACC